TGCCAGTCTTCTTCTGGACTGACCAATTTTCACAGTCCGACGAGCCCGCCCTGACGGCCCACCGACGATGCATGCCAGTCCGCGCCTAAATAATAAATAACCAATAACAAAGAAGCCTGGACCCAGCGAGCTTCACGCGGCCTTACTTTGTCCTTCTGCGGCCACATTAATTGCTACCCTACTCACGTAACCTCACTTTGTCCTCCCACCTGACATCTGTATCGAAAACTTCCTCCATTCATCCTTCTGGGTGGCGACTCCTGTAGCGAACATGAAACATTTACGCCCTTAGTATATTGTGAAAATGGATTTCAGCATTGGTTGTATATTCCAACCGCCCATTTGTTTTAATGTGACACATCCGTTTCATTTTCGAAGTCTCTGTTAGTTGTGCCCTACCTTACTATATGCTCTCGCTAATTCGCCTTCACTTCGTTACAGGTATGCAAATAAACGTTGGGATCGGCAGAGTTCACATTACTGAGTAATCGGTATCCGTATTGGTTCCTATGGTTCTTTCCGCAACCGGTACTTGAATTCCGCTCTACAAGATAAGCCAACTTCGGTCGCCGCTACAGTTGAACAGCCTTATTTCTATCACAACCCACTATGATGTTGCGGAATGCATTGGTTATCACTTGGTCCTCTGTGGATTCGATATAACCTTGTATTTCGCAATTTCAACTCCAGTCAACTTGCTTATGAGAACGCACAAAATGTCAGGGTCACATTTTGAAAACTGAAGGGGAATTTACTTTATTGGTAGAGGGATAATCATTATTGCTTCGCTCGATACGAAAATGGATTTGATTTTAAAATCCCTAAATATTTCGTTTGAAGACACAGCAATAGCCGGCAACATTGCTGACGATCCATCCACTGGAGTCTGTCAATCGGTCATAAAGTCGCACATCCTACCGGCCAATCCAGGTAGCATTGCTGACGGTCCTCATGGTCCGATCAAAGTGAAGAAAAATAGGGTGCGGAAATACCAAAAGCCCTCTGCTAAACCCAGAGAAATAGTTGCCACGGCATCGAAAGAGATGCCGTCTTTGACAGTCATAAACTCGTCTGACGATTGCACACAGAACTTTTCACAGACGCTGACTGTCTCGGCCGCCAGTGAACCAGCCTGTTCTGACGAAATGCTGGTAACTGCTCAATGCGTTACCAAGTCAACGGCCCCTGCTCCAGTGAGCCAAAAGAAGAAGCGGACAAGATCTGCTCGTAAAACTTCGAAGGGGCTTGAAGACCCAGGAACCAGTAAGACGCCGGCAATAGAGCGGAAAACCTACGCTACCGTTGCTTCGGCGTCGTTTGGGAAGCCAGGGACAGTCCCACCGCCAGTGGTGAAAACAGCTGGTACAGGTGTCGACTCCAAGGCACGTGGGGTAAACACTCCCCGTCGTGCCGACTCTTTCACTGATAGTAGCGTTATATTCCGTAACGTTACTGAATCTGAGGCCGTTCTCCCAAGGGAACGCATCTTGGATGACATCAAGTGGCTGAAACTGTGTGTCAGCAAGCTGCTTCCACCTGGTTTCCCTGGTGTCACTGTCAGAAAGCTGACCAGATTGGGGAACGTTCCCGTCGCTGCGCCAAATCCACGACCCCGACTACTTCGCGTAGTCCTTTCTACCCCGGAGGAACGCAAATCGTTACTGCGATTTGCATTCAAACTTAAGGGTAGTGGTGTCAGCGTTCAGCCGGACCTACCACTGGCAGATAGGTTGAAGTTAAAGGAGGCTATCAAAGACCTCAAAACTAGACGGGCGGCTGGTGAGCAAGGCCTCCGTCTGGTGGGTTTTCAGGTGGTCAGCCGGAAGTTACTTTCCGCCCTATCAGAACCAATCCTGATGGCGCACGACCCAGGGATGGTCGTGCCGACTTCCTTGAGGTAGTACTTAGCAACGTGCGTAGCCTAAGGAACAAGGTGCACGAGTTGGGTCTACTTGTAGACAAATCTCGTCCCGACATACTTGCTTTCACTGAGACGTGGTTGTCTCCGGATATCACGGACGGTGAGGTATATTTACCTGGCTACGCGCTGCTTAGAACTGATCGCTCCGTTGGTCGCCAAGGCGGAGGCGTTGTACTGTATGTGAGCTGTAACTTAGATGTGTTGAGGACTTGCACATTCCAGTCGTCGGATCAGACTGTTGAAGCCCTATCGGCTGTTTTGTGCACTTCCTCTACCCAGTTTACAGTTATAGTGATATACAGAAGTCCTGGAAGTTCCTCCAGGGGGATACTTGACTTTATTCGCACTCAGTCTGCGAATAAGTGTTTAGTTCTAGGGGATTTCAACCTCCCGGAAGTCTGTTGGGCCGATCTTTCTTGCAATTCGGCATTAGGAACATTCGGTGCAGACTTCCTTGAACTGACTCTCCAAGTGCCTTTGCACCAGTTCGTTGACTTTCCCACTAGGTATATGGACAACCAAATACCATCTACTTTGGATTTGGTTTTCGCTAAGTCCCTGGACTTCGTGACTGACGTTTCATGCGGTGCACCTCTAGGGTCTAGCGATCACGCATGCATATCCTTTCGATGTGCTCTTTCAAGGCACCAAGAGACCGCTGTTGAATTACTTCCGAATATTTGGCGGGCGGACTTTAGTGCAATGCGAACTAAGGCTTCAGTTCTGAACTGTGAGATCTCGATGGCTGACTCTGTCCAGTTAGCCTGGGATAAATTTAAGGCATACCTTACGGAGGTTTCCACTCCCTATATTCCACTCATGAGGAAAAGAGGGTTAAGGGCACAGCCTCCATGGATAGATACCACAGGCAAGTTCCTACTCAAGAAACGGTCTAGATGCTGGCGAACCTACCAAGCAGCTCCATCAGCCAGTACCTATGATAGTTATCGAGAGAATAGAAATAAATGTAAGCAACATCTCAGAACTGCTCGTCTCCAATACGAGCAGGGTTTAGCGGACTCGGCCGCAGCTAATCCCAAGAAGTTTTTTGCTTACGTTAAAAGACGCAGCGGGGCAAAACTGTCTATACCAGCTTTATTGCGAGCAGACGGGACCCGTGCGCAAACTGACTATGACAAGGCTTGTATACTTAGTGATCAGTATACTGGGGTCTTTGCTCGGGAGACCTCTTTACCACAGGTTGAATTGGTTTCAAGAGTTCCAGAGGATTCTTGCTTAGCTGAATTTAGCATAACGGAGACTCAGGTCTTCGAGCTACTGCAAGGCATTAATCCCTCTAAAGCTTCCGGTCCTGATTCAATTCATCCGAAGCTGTTGCATGAACTGGCCACTGAGCTGAGTGGTCCGCTCACGTGCGTATTTTTAATATCGCTGGACAGCTGCATCCTACCTTCGGAATGGAAGGAGGCGATCATCTGTCCGATTTTTAAGGGCGGTGACAGCGCTCTACCCGCGAACTACCGGCCTGTCAGTTTGACAAGCGTAGTAGTCAAGTTGTTCGAGAAGCTGATAAGGGATTCAGTGGAGAACCACCTGAATCGATTCAACCTTCTCAGTGTTGCACAACATGGATTCCGCAAAGGATTTTCATGTCAGACTAATTTACTTGTAGCTCGTGAAAGCTGGGCCGAAGCGGTAGACAGTGGCCACGCTGTAGACGTGCTATTCGTAGATTTTTCGAAAGCTTTTGACACTGTTCCACATCTTCGGCTCTCACTAAAGTTGAGATCTTACGGGATATCTGGTCGCGCCCTTCAATGGGTGTCTGCCTTCCTTGAGGGGAGGGAACAGTGCGTACGGGTGGGGCGTAGCCTTTCGCTCAGGCAAGCTGTCCTTAGTGGCGTTCCGCAGGGCTCGGTATTGGGGCCATTGTTGTTCGCGATCTATGTAAATGACTTGCCGGGAGAGCTAGGGGTGTCATCATTAATGTTTGCTGACGACCTTAAGCTCTGGAATATTGTGGATATCCCGGGGGGTCCTGAGGCAATTCAGCGTGCCTTGGATAGGCTCTGGGAATGGTCTATCTTATGGTTGATGCCCATAAATAGGGCGAAGTGCTCTGTTCTCCGAATCGGAGCTGCAAATCCTGCCACCCGATATGTTGTCGGCGGTGGTGAACTCCCTGTTGTCACTCAGCAGGTTGATTTAGGAGTCGTACATGCATCAGCACTTCATTCTGGAGACAACTGGAAGAAGGCTGCTTGTCGAGGGTTTCGTATGATGTGGTTTATCCGCCGCTCTTTCGGAATCTTAACGGCCAAGTTGTTTGTGAAGCTATTTTCGGCATTCGTCCGACCCCACCTGGAATATTGTATTCAGGCTTGTCCACCATGTCTTAACCGAGACAAAATGGACTTGGAGAGGGTGTTACGAGTGGGCACTCGGTTAGTGCAGGGTCTACGGGGACAGACGTATCCTGAACGCTTGCTCAGTTTGGGTATGTACTCTATGCACTACCGAAGGATAAGGGGGGACCTGATTCTCACTTATCGTATTTTGACGGGTAAGATTGGCCCGGACTTGTCAGGGCTTTTTAGTCCCGCTACGTTACCTAGTCTCCGCGGTCACCCACTGAAATTGCATAAACCACGGTCTGATAGGATTAGGACGGAAACTCGTCTATCGCGCCGAGTTATAGATCGCTGGAATTCTCTTCCAGATCATGTGGTTAGGGAACCTACAGTTAAGGGTTTTGCGCGCCAGCTCGATGCTCTTGGGTGGCAACAGCAAACCTTTCCTTTTTCCTAGCCGACTCACCTTCACTTTTCAGTTCTTTTTTATTGACGCAAATATCTTGGTATTCCGCTTGCTTAGCTCTTGCCACTTTCTCTTTTGCCTTCTGCGTTTACTTTTTTCTCTTTCTTACTTCACGTAACCGACCCAGCAGGGACTGCTAGGGCAGGATACGTGGGCATTAATTGGTTGGACAGGGTGTGATGCGGTCTTTGTTTTAGGTCCATCAGTATTTCAAAGTTCGCCAACTCCTGGTTCAACGACGCGCCGAAGAAGGAACACTCACGGGATCATCTTATCGTTGCGGTCCCGCTTGAACTTGAACTTGAACTTGAACTTGAGGTTTAATCAGAAATGACACTCGCATAGATGACTGTTGAAAGAGCAGTGAAAACACGCCAATAATGGGACACACGGTGTGAATGCGGAAATGCAGATGACTGTCACATTACTAGGGAAAGATCACACTCCGAAAACTAACGTAGTTGATAATGTTTGAATCAGATTGGATGACATGAGCGATATTTTCAAGAACGACGCATATCGTGTTGATGTAGGTGCGTAGATGACCATCGCTTTCATAGCATCAATGTGTTGTAATCCAGAAAGCATAGTAGGCAGAATGAACGAGCACGGCTGCCAACACTTTGCAAGTGAGTTTCGGTGCTGATCATGAGTTGGGAAAGGGGTGCAATGGAGCGAATGAGAAAATAATATGGAAACTAGAACAAGGAAGCCCTCACTTGATTGCCAGAGCTTACATCGAAAGTCTAGTCAAAGGACCATCGATCAAGGCGAATGATTCGGAAGCGCTCCACAGATTAGCCGGGCAGATGAAAACTTGCTTAAATACGCTGCAACAACTAAATTACGAGGCCGATCTGAACGCGACTGTGACGGTGTCGGCGGTGATTAGGCGACTGCCTTACTCATTTCAGCTCGATTGGTCAAAGAAAGCTACCAGTATCCTCCGCACTTGTAGAGAGCCCGCCCTTAAAGACCTGTACCAGTTTGTTTGTGACGTGGCTGAGACTGTTACTACTCAGGCTATATACTCGAATGAAATCATTAGAAGGACTGAAGGACCCTACACGGCAGAAAGACCTCAAAGCCATGGCAATCGCATAACCACCTTGGCAACCGGAGGAACAGTGCCGCAGACTCAGAGACGCGCGCCCTCGTGTGTCGCGTGCACAGCGCACCATCACCTTGATCAGTGCCCTCGATTCCAAGCCTTTGATCATTCCGAAGGCTTGCTGCTCGTTTCTGGAAAGAGTCTATGTGAACTGTGCTTCAAAGCTAACCACGCGTCTGAGCTTTGCAGATCCCGAGTCACGTGCGGATTCAACGGTTGCCAGTTGAAACATCATCCTTTACTACACGAAGCCAAGACGAACCAACTAACTTCACCAAGAGCTGTGGTAAACGAAACGAATGTGTCGTGGGGTCGAATAGCTTTAGGGATTATTCCAATTCTGCTGCGTGGAAAAACCAAGTCACTGGTGACCAATGCTTTACTTGACCCAGGATCTGATTCATCACTTGTCGATGAACAGCTGTTGCAAAGGCTTGACTTACCAGCCAGACCGTCAGTGATACAAATAGCAACGGTTAACGGTGATTCAACGATGTGCTCGCAAGTTGTACGCCTGGAGTTGCAACCGCTGGAAGGAGGTAAATCACTGCATGTAGATCATGCGTGGGCCGTCAAAAGGATGCCTAAAGTACAGAGGATAATACCGGAGCCAGAACGCCTGCGCAGTTGGGAGCACTTAAAGGACCTACCGTTTATCGATGGTTGTGATGAAGGAGTCGGAGTGCTTATTGGCATGAATGTCCCGGAAGCCCACTGGGTGCTTGAGCATTGGTATGGAAAACCTTCAGGCCCCTTTGCCATACGAACACCGTTAGGCTGGATCCTGCTCGGTCCGGTGGGGGGGGGGGGGAAAGGCGTAACGAACATTTACACCAACTCAATCAGTGTAGAAGACTCTATTTCGAGCTTTCTTGAAAGGATGTATGAGTTGGAATTCACTGAGGCATGTAGCTCAAGACGCGGAATGTCTGTTGAGGATAAACGCGCATTAGAGCAGATGGAGTCATCTATCGTTAAATGTGGTTCACATAATCAACTCAATTTACCATGGAAAAGCGCATGCCCAAAGTTGCCAAACAACTATCCTGTCGCTTACCGAAGACTGATGTCATTGCGCAAAAGGCTCGTTGCCAACCCAGAGTTACATCAGATGTACACAGCTGCCGTTGAAGAGTACGCGTCGAGTGGGTTTGTGGAAATGATTGACCCAGGACCGCTTGGTGATAAAAAAAGGCGTTTGGTATTTGCAACATCGCGCTGGGACGTACCCCAACATGCCCGGGAAAGTCCGTGTCATTTTCGACTGTGCCAGCACCTACCAGGGTACTTCATTAAACCAACAATTGTTGAAAGAGCCCGACTTAGTGAACAGTCTGGTTGGCGTTTTACTGAGATTCAGAATGGACAAAGTGGCGGTAACTGCCGATATAGAAGCCATGTTTCACCAGGTAATGGTGACACCGCAAGATAGAGACTATTTGCGTTTCTTGTGGTGGCTTGAAGGAGCCTATTTCTTACGCCTCAAAGAAGTCCATTGGCCCAAATTTCCGGAAAGTTTAAGCGAAATCCCGAATGAGTGGCTGAAGAAGGAGCATGTTACAGTCCATAGTGCAACATTAACGAACACTTGGTTAGACAGGTTCGCAAGCTGTAGTAGCTGGGTCAAGCTCAAACGATGTGTAGCCACATTACTCAGATTTAAACGGTACTTGCTGAAAAGATGCAGAAGAGGTCTGAATAACCCGACTGATGGTCGTTTGACGTTATCTGAACTAAACGAGGCCGAAGTGGAGATAGTGAGAAACATGCAACAGATCTCCTTCGCGGAAGAGATTAAAGTACTGGGAGCGAATCGACAGAAAGAAGCAGTTAGATGTTTGAAACGTTCCAACTGTTCGTTGAAGGGACTCTGCCCATTTTTGATTAACGGCATCCTACGAGTTGGTGGCAGACTGAATTGGGCACCATTGCCGTATGACGCTAGGCATCCTGTCCTGCTACCTGCCCAACATTACGTGACTAGACTAATTATCTTAGATTGCCACGAGAGAAACGGTCACGTCGGCGTGTCTCACGTCCTTTCTGAACTGCGTCAGCGCTATTGGATTTTGCATGGTATTTCAGCAGTCCGCAAGGTCCTGAAGGCATGTGCACGCTGCATGATATGGAAGGCTCAGGCTTGTGAACAACAGATGGCCCCTCTCATAGAGGATCGTTGTATGGCATACCAACCGGCGTTTACGGCTGTTGGGGTTGACTATTTTGGACCACTACTGGTGAAGGAAAAACGAACAACGGGGAAACGGTACGGTTGTATATTTACTTGCCTCTCAGTAAGAGCGGTACACATAGAAATAACGCACGCCAAGAGGTCTGTGGCCAAAGGGCATAATAGAAGAAGCGAAGGCTGGGCGCGATGGACTGGTCCGGGAAGTTCTGATACGTACAAACAAAAGAACATTACGGAGAGACGTACGACAAGTGTGTCTATTAGAGGAGACTTTGGACGAAGAATTCAGCGAGGAGGCCAAAGACGCTGGGGGAGTGTGAATTCTAAATTCTCGATTCTGAACTATACTACTGCACATTTACCAGTAGTTCAATTTTTTTATATTTTTCCCGTTGGACGGTGTGGTACTCGAGTTTACCTGTTCAAGCACAAATGTTCGGCTTTAACAAACTGATAAAACCCTGCAATTTTTCTGCATTGATTATCCTCCTTTTTATCTTTGCTTAATTGTTGTGAACTTACGGTTTGCGTCTCATCGGTTGTAATTTGTTTTACTGTGCCAATTTTACGGACCATTCGCCAGTTGCGCAGACTTAACTGCTGACGTGGAATAATTGCTGCCCGAATTATCGAGTCGCATTACCTATTCGTGAGTTAATTGTATTCCTTTTTTGTTTATTACTGCTATTGTAGAACCACGGTTATTCAGTATACTCATTCCGCCCACTGCCCTGCATTTTAACTGCCCAGACCGTGCGTTAGTTAGGTGATACGATTAGCCTCTGGTCACGCAGTACAGCCTAGTTGGATTACAACAAAACGTTTCTTTCCTCCGTGTGTCAGCCATGGAATGCCCTCCCGGCCCATGTAATTAATGTCCACACCTTATCCCTTTTCAACAAGCGCCTTGACCATACTCTGACACATTTACACTACGTGATCTGGCCAATGAGAATCAGATGACGGCATCAATGCACAAATAACAGTGGGCGGTGTCATAACCCTACTCGCACACGAGTTACTGTAACCCCTTAGTAAGTCATGTAATGCAGGCCTTCTCTTACTGACACGCTTTTCAGTTTTTTAATTATCACCCTAACTATCCTACGGGACATGTCAAGTATGCACTTTTATACACGTCATAAACTATTGCTCCAATTGTCAACTTGGCAAATCCACGGTTAACTTCTAGGTGCCCGCGTCATCGTCTGGTGTCGAGAGCCTTAGAGACCAGATTCATGCTATTAAAGACTTCCCAGCTCTGACTTCATTCATGTATCTCCTTCGATTTTCTGGTCTAGTCAACAACGACCGATAATTTGTACCCGGCTGCTATCAACTCATACTGCCTCTAGTTGACCTTTTCAAATAAAACGAGCGTAAATTCGCTCTCCCAGATGCAGCGCACACAGATTTCACTTAACCTAAGTGTGATATCCCCAAAGTAGCTTTCTTCACTCACTCAGAACCAACTGCTCCACTTACCTTACAATTGGCACTTCGGACGTTGCGTAGGAGCGGTACTCCAACAACGCGCTTGTGCGCCTTGGAAACCTCTGGGTTTCTCCTCCTAACGTTTACAACCAGCTGAATCCCGCTACAGCATGTTTCCTATAGAACTGCTCGCCACCTGCTTAGTTATCCGTCACTTCCTACACATATTAGTAGGTCGGACTTTCATAGTGGACACTGACCACAAGCCTCTCATATTCGCCTTTAAGGCATTTTCTGAAAAATTTTCACCACGGGCAAGTAGACACAGAATTTGTCACGCAGTTCACCGCTCACTTACGTCATGTCGCAAACAGCTCTAATCCCGTCGCTGACACTCTCTTGCGTCAACCTCTCCCTTCGTACTTTGCCTAATTTCGACTTCGCCATAATGGCATGGGCTCAGGCACAAGACAAAAACATACAACGCACCCTGCAGTCCACTTCACTGCATGTGCAACTCACTTCTCTCTGAACCATGGACGGAACTACTCTTTGTGACAAATCCACAGGTTGCCGTAGGCCCCTCGTGCCCGCCTCTTTCAGTCGCACAGTCTTGGACTCTGCACTCAAGGTCTCATCCCGGTATTCATGCATCTTTAAAACTGGTCACAGAGTGTTTAGTTTGGCCAAGCGAAAAAATGATGTTCGCAACTGGACCCGAGCTTTTCTTCACTTTCAGCACTCAAAGGTACAATGACACACAGGCAGTCTTCTCGGCTCATTCTCTGCCTCCAATTCGCAGTTCTCACACCTACACCTAGACCTGGAGGGACCTTACCTCCATCTTGCGGATTCAAATACATTCTGATACGTGTCGACCGCTTCAATAGATAACCAGAAGCCATCCCTGTATCAGACTACAAAGCCGAAACTGTCATCCGTGTCTTCCCGGAACGCTGGGTGTTCCACTACGGATGCCCATTCACCATCATGACCGCCCGTGGACCGCTTTTCGCATCTTCACAGCTTGATACATTCTGTAACTTCTAAACCTGCCCCCGAATTCACACAACGCTGTAGCGCCCAGCAGCTAATGTCTTAGTCGATCGCTTTCCTCGACAACGTAATCATCTGTCTGTGCCCCATCAGACCCTTACTTGGGCGAAGACATTTCGCTATTACTTCTAGATAATCGCAGGAGTATCAAAGCTGACCTGCAATGTGCATCAGCAGAGATGATTTACGGCACATCGGTTAAGCTGCATGAGAGATTATTTTACTCTCTCCCCAACGTGTATGTCACCGTCAAACTTCGAGCCGCTCATTTGTTTTCTTATGACACATGCGTTTCACTTTCGAACTTTCTGTTAGTCGTGCGCTACCTTACTATGTGCCCTCACTAATTTGCCTACAGTTTATTACAACTATGTACAATACACGTAGAGTTCACAACTCTTAGTAATCGGTATCCGTACTGGTTCCTATGCATCACGTTGCGACTAGTACTTGAGTTCCACTCTACAGCATAAGCCAAGATCGTCTGCCTTTGCTAGTAAACAAACAGCCTTCTTCAAATCGCAGCCCGTTAGGAAGTTGCAGAATGGATTGGTTGGTTATCTCATGGCCCTCTTTCGATCAGAAATAACCTTGTATTTCGCAATTTCAACGCCGGTCAACTTGCTTATGAGAGCGAGCAAAATGTCAGTGTCACCTTTTGAAAACTGAAGGGGAATTTAAGTTATAGGTAGTAGCATAGAGTGATAAGCATTATGACGTTTAATCAGAAATGACATTCGCATAGATGACAGTTGAAAGAGCAGTGCAAAGATGCCAATAATGGGGCACACAAGGCACGAATGCAGAAATGCAGATGACTGTCACATTATTGAGGAAAGATAACCCTCAAAAAGCCAACGGAGTTGATAATTTTTGAAGCAGGTTGGATGACCTGAGTGATATTTTCAAGAACGGAGCATAGCGTGTTGATGTAGCAGAGCGGATGACGGTCTGTTTTGTAACATCACGGCGTTGTAACCCAGAAAGCATAGTAGGCAGAATGAACGAGCACGGCTGCCAACACTTTGCAAGTGAGTTTCGGTGCTGATCATGAGTTGGGAAAATGGTGTAATGGAGCGAATGAGAAAATAATATGGAAACCAGGTAAACTGCGGACATCGGATACTGATTATATTCGAAACTGTACCTCCAAAGTTACTTCTTATCAACTGCCATCGTCAGCGCAGTGTGGCGCAAGATGGTCTGTGGGTCTTCCCCATACTCTTGCAACCTCATTTAACAGTCAGCAAATTAACAATCACATCCGCTTATCCAAAGCATAAGTAAAATGCACTGGTCCTCTCAAGTATCAAAACATGGTGGACCATGTATGTAAATCCCATTGAGCAACACTCACCCCATGAATTGGTGTGATCGGGTATCTCCGTCACGTTATCTTTGAAGGCACCACTTGGAGTCGTGTCTGCTTTCCGCCGCGTCGATGCAACAATCGATGAGTGCAAACAGAAGAATCGGTAAGCGAATTTATAGGCTATTTCCTGGATTCCACTGAAGGCAGCACTAAATAACATGGTTGAATAATATTGTAGACAAATCGGGTGATCTGCCTAGATTCGAATGTTTGTGCTCGTTTCCACACAAAGTTAATTGAAGGGAGTAAGGTTTGCGAAGCAACGTGTGTATCAAATTACGGCAAAATGTATATCCATCACGGGTTATCATTTTGCTGGAAATGTTGGCATGATTTTATTGTATAATGCAACGGTAACTCAACACACTTGCTAGCAAACTGCGGTTTCTGTTGACATAGTCAAAGGAACTTCGAGCTAAAAATGGGTCAATCAACAAGACGGAGTTTGTTTGTGAGGTAGTGAAAATAAGCGGAATTTACTAATTCAGCACGGTAGCGTGTGAAAGTCTTTTCGTCTCATTGCTTGTGAGACTAAAATCTTGTGCATCCTGATGCATTTTCATCAACTGCATCCTATTTTCAACCATTTTCATTTCTATGCAGTTGTAGCATTCCACGTATACATAGCATCAGTATCCGATCCAATTTCCTGTTTGTTCACTTGGGAACTTGGAAGATTATCCACATTAGTCGTACTCGCATCTCGGATTCAAAGGTTACATAAGCGCAGAACACCAGGAGAATTTCTCGCTCCTTTGGATTGTTTGATTCTGGTCTAACTGTTTGGTGTGACTGTCCACCACTCCTCTGCAAGATTACTTGGTGGGCCGCAATTTCGACATAGCTCATTGCGCACAGCATATGTTTCTGCGTTAGGATCATAAAGACTGCAATACGGCGATGAATGTAAACTGCTCGTCGAGCTGATTGGAGCCATTATAGTCAAACGTGCGGGTATGGATAAATGGGTAAGTAAGTTTGGGTGAAGTACAAGTGCTGAAATAACTCAGCTGCAAAAGCTTCCGTGGATACCCATTCTAATCTAAGTATGATTCGACCGCTCTACTGCAGGTTTTAAGAAATGTAGTAGAAATGTGGAAACGCATTATTCTATTTTGGTATTTCGGGAACCCATATCACGAGTATGAACCCATCAAAGAAAAGGTTATTTCACGCGGTATGGGTAATGATTATAATGCATCTAATCAAACGTCGCATGCACGTTCCATTGATTTCTCACACCATGTTGGTTGCACAGCTCCCTTACTTATAACGTACCCCGCAATTGATTAGATGTGAATGAGTTTACTTAACTGACCGGTCTGAGTTACAGTGAATAAACACAACTTACATTCTTCAAGTAGTGATGGGGAAACGGATTGGTAATTGTTGAACTTGGAGACAATCTAACCTGAGTCAAAGCCAGGGTTCAGAGAACCGAAGCCAGATGGAGCCAGAGAACTGGGTTGGAATGTTTTACTGAGTAGTAAAAGGCTATGCAATCTCATGTCCCAAGTCGAACGCTGAACTAACTACAAGTGGGTATGCACAGTTTTGGCATAGTCACACCATACCCAAGACACTTGCGTTTGTTTTATGTTACAAAGCTCTTTCTTGTCGCTTGGAGCAACAAATATGACATACTAGTGAGAAAAATCACGTTATTAAAAGTCACGCACTCTAACTGTCACATATGGTAGTTTGTGCTATTAGCGGTTACTTACTTGCCCGGGGAACGTTGTCTGGTTTTGTGTTCACTTCACAAATACACACTAATTGACCAGCATCGCCTATTCTGACATACAGCGTTATATCATTCGGGAGTCAGTGGGAACCCATCCCACTTTGATCAACTGCTACGACCATAAGGTTATTGAACCGTAGATTTAAAACAGTAAACAGACGACTGATGAAAGCCGTCGTTGATAGTAGTGGTCGTCGTACCTGCGTTTTTTCCCGCATCCTTGGTATTCACCTTTGGAGTGAAGCTTGTTTCACTTGGTGTTGTGGTGGCCGTTTTTGCTGTTGGGTCTGTCCCTATGTGGGTAATGGTAGTATAGGCATGAGTGATAGTGTGGACATACTGACTAGTTGTTTGGCTCACTGAATTCATACGTGTTCATAGTAGATGCCATTGAGGCAACATTTCTAAATTGAACGAACTTTGCAAATCACAAATTTCACCTCGATATCTTCGTCATGTCTTTAATGCGCACACAGGTTCGTTCGTAATTTAGCTCTGTGCACGCTAACCGGGTTCTAATGTCTAGAGTAATACAGGCGTATGCGAGTTAGTCTGCAGTAATACTTCTCTTTATATATGTGGAGCTGATTAATATTTTTGCCGACAGTTTAGAGAATCAAAAACACTTTAGCGAGATTCGTGTACTGATAGTGAGGTTTACCAAGGGGTGTATATCCAATTCTAATAATAAAACATTGACTGTTTTGTGAGGTGAGATTGGCTACCGTTGCAACCCACGTCCCACACAAGAACACTGAAACTATAGTGACACGAAACATATAACTATCCGGTGTGTGTTTCGGAGTAATCTCAGATGTGGTCCATTGGTGAGCCGTTCTATATTCCATCCTACTAGAAACTCCGACTCAGCCGAAAGTCACTGCCCAAAAGAATATATCTAAATGAATGTATGGAGCTGCATACCAAATAACTTTGAATGTGGAGGAAAACTATCATTATTTTATGTGATTACGTTAGACTATGTGCTAATGGTAAATGGCACCGACTTTCATTTGAGATCAATCGTTGCTGTACGCGCAAGTGACGTTGGTTATGTAATCGTCCATCGAGTTAACTTTGAAAAACTGGTATCTACATCTTGTCGATGTACTGTGGGTTTGGAAAATCTAGTCGGACTTTTCTGACTAGCTTGTTTAACTGCCGCGTGTGTTTGCGTGGCACGGGAGTACGCTAAATTGCCAATTGTCCGCTAATAAACGTTGGTTTGCCGATAATTTGCTCACCCAGCCACAGGAGTATGACGTTCTGCTGCGATGGATGATTGTATGGGCAACACTACTGCATCAACGCTAAGGGTTTGTGTTACGATGGATGGGCCGACAGTCCAAGCTGGGTACGCGTTTTGGTGTGACTGGTGAATGCGTATGCAACACGGCTGCAGCCAATGGATTGGTTGCGTCACGATAGATGTGTACATGACGCTCGGCCAAGTTAATAAGCAAGACGGAGCGATCCCTGTCATAGGGTTATTGGCTCAGTGTTAGCAATGAGAAGAACAGCATGGCCCTAAACACTTAATTTTCCCCGGACGTTTGTTGCTGTCTCAGTTGATGACGAAACACAATCATGGCCAAGGCTGATATAGCTCAACACTCACCTCAATTAAACCGTAAGCCTATATCGGGCTGCTTTCTTTGGTGAATGGAATCATACCACCTGGTGTCAACAGCGTATTTAATAAAGCAAGTGTAATTATGACACTTTGCATCGACAAAACGTTGAAACGGACGGCTTTAGGTTTCATGCTGATTCGAGAGGCAACGATGTCACTTGGTGGTTTGTCAGCCATCCGAGTGGAATCTCGGCGTGGAAGGCGGGTATGCGCGACATCTTTGGAGTGCAACACGCTATACTGCATTGTGCTCAGTGAATGTGCGCAAGGTGCGATCAACTACTTCGATAATGTTGTATCTATAGACATATTCTAAGCGTAGTCGTTTCTGGTAACAGATAGGCCATGATGATGGGAAACAGGTGGCGCAGTTAGGTTTACAGTATCAGACAGCTAACAAATAACCATAGCCACTGACTCTTGAGACTATCCCTGTCTGAAGACTTTGAACAACCAGTTGGTAATTTAGCATACTCCCATGTCACTCAACCTCATGCGACTGTCATGAAACTCCGACCAATTTTCAATCACGCTATATATGATCGGGTCGTATTGAAGCAACAGGTTAAAGTTCGCCAAACAAGTCTGCTACTTCTACTGCATAAGTAGTTTACTACACTTTCTAATTGTTTAGTCGTCAATTCTCGTTTATCTTTAGAGCACAATTCGAAAACCGTACGATAGCAAGTTGTGTCAAAAGTTCATAAAAGCGCAGTATTTTACCATCCGTCGACGGACGAAATGTAAGGGTAGCCCCAATATCTAATCATGTTCCCCATCATCTCATGTACTTTCTTGTTCACAATCACTCGCAAAGCGATTTGCATTGGTAGCAGGGCAACACTGAAATAAAACCATTTCCCGACTCTGATTAACGAGCGAAGATGGTGTCCATATCGTCTACGTTGTTTCGTATGTTTGAACATATGGTTTTGACAATACAAAGGGAAAAGATGTTGGCATGCTTCTTTCCTAGCGTTTCCTATACTGCTTTTGGAGGAGGAACAGACTGGAAACATGAAGAAAACTTCATCCAATAGACACTTTAGCACATCCGTTTCGGTATTGAGGTCGACATACACCCATATAGGTAATCATCAGCATTCACTCGAGATGACGTCGTCTAATACTTTGACAGATCCATATTAAAACAGGAAAATCTGTGGGTTGTTCGACTGACAAGATTGGAGACGCATAGTGAGGATGCTCCGTCATTGCATCATGTCCCCTGGATGTGCAGCAGCAAAAGACTAAGCGGTGTTGTAAATGTTTTTCACATGGGTAGTATAACGTAGGTACATGCGAGCGAGAAGATCACGTTCATATTCATCTGTGCTTATAACAGACAGTGAGCAATTCTGAAGAAGGATTTGTACGCGTCTGTCGTATGGCAAATTATGTGGAGGTGAATGTGTTTGTAATTCACTTCAATACGGCAGCATCCAAGTTACCATCTTACTTTAGTCCCTATGAGACCGAGGTAGTGAATTAGTACTGCGATAGGCGTACGCCTGTAATTTACCATACAGATGCTCGCCTCGACTGTTGTCGTAGTTGAATAGATCCTACTCTACTTTTGTGGTTCAAAGACCGATTGTCCTGACTCCGCTCAACTACATGACCACCATACATAGAGCATAATTGGCCATTTAGCCTCCTGAATTCATCGATAGTACAATTTTATGTACTCCGCGGTAACCAGAACCAGCGAACCTACAATATTGACTCACTAATTTGGACCACTGCATCGAGTGGAATAATGTGGCTGCACTGTCCAAGTAGG